GGGAGGAGCATCTGCTTCCTTGGCTTTCCCAGCGCTCCAGGCCACCGGCATTCATTGGCTTGTGCACCTTCCTCTGTCTCCAAGCCAGTAGCACAGCATCTCCAAGTCTCCCTCTCTCCCTTTGACCTCTGCTACCACCATCACATCTCCTGTGGCTCTGACCCTTCTGCCTCCCTCCTGTATGGACCCATGGGATGACACTGAACCCACCCCGATAATGCAGGGTCGCCTCCCCCCATCGCAAGTTCCTGAACTTAATCAGATCTGCAGAGCCCATTTTGCCATATCAGGTCACATTTGCAAAATTCAGAGATTAGGACATACACATCTTTGGAGGCTATTTTTCAGTCTATCATAACCGCACAGGTGTCCAGGAGAGTACCCATAATCAGAATCATTAATATTTCTGTAGCAAAATGTATGAATATTCATGCTAAATTGTATACATCGGTGGTTAGCAAACTGCAGGTGGGCCACATCCACCTGTTGTTTTGTATATCAGGTTTTATTGGAATGCAGTCACACCTATTTGTTATGGCAGCTTTCATGAGAGGGCAGAGTTGAGTAGTTGTGACCTGCAAAGCCTAAAATACTTACTATCTGACCCTTTACAGAAAAAAAAAAATGCTGACCCTTGGTATAAATAATATCTCTGAATAGTTCAGGTCAGTTTTGCCACCAAATGAATTTTCCACAAACCTACAGAAAACCTTTTGATTTTCAATTTTGCTGAATTTCGGAAGTACAAGCAAGGAAGCATGGACCACTCATTAGTGACCGAGCTAGGGACTCAATCCTAGTTCACTGCAAAGCCCAAGTTCTTTTTTTTTTTTTTTAACTTATTTTTGGCTGTGTTGGGTCTTCGTTGCTGTGTGCGAGCTTTCTCTAGTTGGGGCGAGCGGGGGGCTACTCTTTGTTGCGGTGCATGGGCTTCTCATTGCAGTGGTTTCTCTTGTTGCAGAGCATGGGCTGTAGGCACGTGGGCTTCAGTAGTTGTGGCACGCGGGCTCAGTAGTTGTGGCTCATGGGCTCTAGAGCGCAGGCTTAGTAGTTGTGGCGCACGGGCTTAGTTGCTCCGCAGCATGTGGGATCCTCCCGGACCAGGGCTCGAACCTGTGTCCCTTGCATTGGCAGGCGGATTCTTAACTATTGCGCCACCAGGGAAGCCCAAAGCCCAAGTTCTTAATCCAAATAGTCCACAATTCCATTTCCTTTGTATTTGAGCCAAGAGTGTATGTGTCTATTATTGGACCCATTTTAGGATTTCAGACACCCAGAGAATTAGAGCAGAGCGTGGTCATCATCCAATGCACGAGTCTAAAGATAATAGTCAGCAGGCCACACCGGATCAGAGGTGTGTTAGCTAGAACAGTGCTCTAAGAACAAGGCACATGAAAGCCTTTAGCCAGGAGCGTGCACTCTGATTAGCCACAGTCACCACCATTCCCTGCCATCCTTATTGCCTCACCTAAGCTCCTCCACACATCCACATTCCCAGCCTGGTCCCTGAAGGCTTTTAAGAGTTACCTGCTAACCTAATCTCTACCCTCCCGTACTAGAGAGGAAGAAAACAAGGTCGATAGAAGCATCTCATGGAGGTCACGTAGAAGAGAGGTGGCAGAGCTGAGACCAGAACTCAGGTCTCCTGCCCTCTCTGCCCATTTTCTTTTACTTCACTGTCAGGTACTTGGACTTGGCCCCTGGCCAGTTATGATTCGCATGCTCAGCTTTTACTGGTGGTTCTCTCTGCCCCATCAGTCCCCCCCTCCCCCCACTCTGCTTGACTTTGTTTTCCCCAAATCACTTGCCTAAACAATCATCACCTTCAAATGTTCAGCTGTGGTCCCAGACGTTGTAATCTCTCTTGGCATCCTTTGACACTCTGGAGAGAAATTTCCTTGGAGATCTTCCAAATTCAGGGCTGAGAATTTGTTATCACACGAATTTCAGACTATGGCAGACTTCAGCTTTCAAAATCATCACAGCTCACCTTTCCTCTGTGTCAGGGTTGTCTTGTAGCCTGTGGACAGAGGCCCCCAGTTCTTGCTGATCCGTTCTAGGTGGAGTGCTGGGGTCTCGTTGTTGGAAGGAAGGACTTTTGGCCCAGGGATGATGATCCACTGACATCATTCTCCCTGAAGTCATTCCTGAAGGAATTCCAGTAAAAAAAAAAAGCAAAAAGCATCTACCTTAATGAGAAAGGGTATAAAATCTCTTCCAGCTGTTGGACTTATGTAAGGACGATAAAGTTTCTTTTATTGAGTACCCCTCCTCTGGTTTGAGCTTAGCCACACCTCATCCATAAAGAATCCACCATTGGGACACAAATCACTTTTTAATCAGAATCCCTAACCACGGTTTCAGGGATAGGGCCAAGAACACCCTTGTATACTCCATTACATCTTCCTTTAAGAGACATTGCAGAGACCTGGATGTTTCTAGAAGCTGGATGTCTGCTTTCTCTGTATTTGAATGTAGGTATTATTTTCATTACTACTTAGTGCCTTCGACAAGTATATGATCACTGATGTAGGCTGAAAGTTGTACCTGCAAGAGTTTCAGTGAAGGGAGGAAATTTTAATTCTCCCATAATTTCCATCAACTAACCCTCCTCCAGCCACTCCAAATGGATTTACAATCTGAGTAAATGAGCTTTTCTGCAGATGCACTTCCACGCCAAGACTCTAAGCCATCCCCTTTCCTTCTGCCATATTGACCCTGAGCACCTCTGGATAGAAATTGTATAGAGCAGAGCCAGTGGTTGGAATTCAGACAATCCTATTGATACGTTATTTGCTACTTGGGTTATTAGTGTATAATCTGCAACGTGCAACCAAATGACTTGTGTTTTTCTTGAATATGTGTATAGGTGTCTTTTCACAGGCCAGAATTGAAGGATCCCTTTAATTTCAGTAGCTCCTCAAATATTTCATCCAAGCTACCCACGTTGATGGGCATTCCATTATATCAGGCCTTCATCTGGGTTAGCCCAGAGTTTCTGCAAGGCTGTTGTGAATATTACTTCATTTCTTCATTTATTATCCCAGTATGCTTATATACCTACTAAGTGTGCTAGGTCCTGTGAGGAATGTTTTATCCCCTCTGTTGCAACTATTACTCATATGTAAAGCTGACCCTGGATTGCTTCCTATATACTGGGCACTGTTTTAAGTCCTTTCTATGTATTAACTCATTTAATCATCACAAGGATCCCACAGAGCAGGTAGTACAGTATTATTATTCACATTTTACAGAAGAGGAAACCGAATCCCAGAGAGGTTAAATAACTTGCTGAAAGTCACACAGCTAGTGAGAATCAGCCTTAAGCAGGACCCTAAGTGGATTGGGTCCTAAGTCCGTGCTTTTAACCCTTACACGATATGAAAATTAAAAGGGATTCTTTCCGCTCTTAAAATTGTTACAGGTACAGCAGGGCTGCAAACTCACATGCTGACGGGGACCAGGCAGGAAATGAACAGGAGTGAAGTAGGCCAGGTGGGCATTGAGAAGAAACAGAGAGTTCCATCCCCTTGCAGGCGTGGCTGCTGCACGGGTCCAGCCGATCATAGCTACTATAGTAGACAAGCCCTGTATGGCCCGGCTCGCCCCTGCTCCACGAGAAGCCAGAAAGACAGAGTTTTGAAATCTGAAATCTCTCACTGAAAAAAAAAAAAAAAGAACTTTTGGGTTTAGCAAGTTTCTGCAAGCTGAGTGAAGTCTGTGGGTTGTCAGTTTGCAAACCATCTTAGCGGGGGATATAGCACATGTATGCCGGTACCTATAAAGTGAGGAGAAAGTGCTGTGTCCCATCAGAGGCATGTTAGGGAAATGCTATGGAAATTCAGAAAAACAGAGAAAGGTGACTGCCATATGGCACTGTGTGGGGAACGTAGCAATTAAGATGGTCCATGAAGGAGCAGAGAGAAATGTAAAGGGTATGTTAGGAGAATGGTGAAAGCTGTCTGGCCACAGGGAGGTCAAATAGTCATCCAGTGTGAAAATGTGCCCTGTTGGTAGGTGGGGAGTCAGTGCTCCACCAGACCTTCCCCTAAGCCAGAAACGAAAGGGTTAATGTCAGTCAGCATCTGTGGCTGGCCATCAAATATTTAAAGGCTGCCCTTGACCATAGTCAGGGTAATGGAATTAAGAGTGGCCAGGTGAGCTGCAGCAGTCACGGTAACCCTGGGGGCTAAGCCCAAGTGTGTGGACTTTGACCCTGGAGGGCCACAGGAGGTTTTGTGCTGGCACTGAGCCCGCCAGGCTTGGTTCCGACAGCTCTGGGTCGGGTCACTTGAAGAGCGGAGGACATTGGAGGCAGGAGACTACTTAGGAAATGGACCAGGAGAGTCCTAGTGATGGGAACAGGGGCAGAGGCAGAGCAGTGGCAGGGCTTGGGGAGGGGTGAACGCAGTGCACCAGCGAGAGGCCGGGGCCAAGGGCCACGGCCAGGTTCAAGCCCAGGCCAGTGGCGGTATCACTAGGTACTTGTACAAGGCGAGGGTGGGGGAGTTGGAGGGGAACAGGTTGAGGGAGAGGAGTATGAATAATCTTTGGCACGTTTTGAATTTGAGGCACTAGTGGAACTTTGAGGCACGTATGTCTTACTCAGTGCCTTCAGAAACAATAACTATATATTCATCTACCTCCCCACACCCCCTCCCCCTAGAAATAATTTGTTTAAAGCAGATCGAAGACTGAAAGGAATGGAGCACGAGACCAGTAAGTCTGACTTCAGGGGATAATAGACTAAATTTGGGAACTTTTTGATAAAAAGCAAGTCCAGGCAGGCATTGCCTGGGGCAGCTCAGAACCGAAGGAGGTAACCTTTATTGAATACCTACTATGTCCCAGAAAGTGAGCAAGGCTTTATGTTGATTATCTCGTTTGATCTTCAGAACAGAACAACCCGAGGGGCTTTAATTATCCCCATTTTAAAGGTGAGGCACCTGAGGCCCAGGAATGTGAAGTCATTCATGGGAACCTTTGAAAGGAAAGACAGGGCCCTTTAAGGCAAACTTTACTCACTTTTTCATGTTTTTTTTTTTACAAATGGTCCTGTTACAGGGGACACAGTCCTGAGTAGTTGCCTTTCCACCATTTCCCCATGGTGTGGATGTGACCAGATTGCAGCACTGATGGACTCGTCTGAGAGCCTTGTTTGTACAGCAAGCACATGGCTTTTCTTAGGCTAAAGGTGCCTTCATTCAAAATCAACATAGTCTTCAGAGAACTTCCATATTAAAGAGTACTTTTCTTTGACTGGGGTGCGAAGTCATATTGAGGTTGCCCCTTGGTGACACATGGCTTCTACAAGTGGGAAAACGTTGAAAAGCTTGGACTTTGGAGTCAGACCTGAGTTCAAATCCCAGCTCCATGATTTACTGGCTGTATGACCTTGAGCACGTCATCCAAGCTCTCTCTGCCTGTTTGCTCATGTTTCATGCCAACCTCATTGGATTGCTGTGGAGGCTAAGTAATCTTTCAAGTATATACTGTTTTCTCCTCCCAGTCTCGCCTGTATTCTCTCTTTCCCCTCCAGTTGCCTTTTGGAAATAATCTAGACCAGCGTCAGCAAACTTATTCTTAAAGAACCAGATAGGATGCATTTGAAGCTTTGTGTTTATCACACAGCCCCTGTTCCAGCTGTTCCACTCCGCTGTTGTCGAGTGAAAACAGCCACAGACAAGAATTAACAAGTGGGTGTGGTTGTGTTCCAATAAAACTTTACTTATAAAACCAGGCAGCATCTGTATTCGGTCCAGGGGCTGTAGTTTGCCAAGCCCTGGTCTAGACTCTAGCAGTTATGGGGACGCCCCGGCAGGTTTGGGGATGAGACGTGCTCTGTAAGCAGGCAGCACCAACTTCCTAATGGAACAATTCCAAAGCCCTCCTTTCTTTTTTTCATTATCGTTTCAATTTTTTTTATTGAAGTATAGTTGATTTACAATGCTGTGTTAATTAACTGCTATATAGCAAAGGGATTCAGATATATATATATATCAATATTTATACATTCTTTTTTTATATATATTCTTTTCCATTATGGTTTATCATAGGATATTGAACATAGTTCCCTGTGCCATACAGTAGGACCTTGCTGCTTATCCATTCCATGTGTAAAAGCCCACATCTGTGATCCCCAACCTCCCGGTCCATCCCTCCCCCGACCCCCTCCCCCTTGGCAACCACCGGTCTGTTCTCTACATCTGTGATTCTGTTTCCGTTTCAGAGATAGGTTCATTTGTGTCCTTTCTTTAATAGCCCCTACTTACCTTTCGCAAATGATGGCAACTTTCTTTCTTAGGGAACGCACAAAAAGGCTGCAGGGATTTTGGAAATGGCTTCCAGAATATGAGCATTTAGTCACTTTTAATTGTGCTGAGATTAAACTAATCAGATTTACTTCCAAATGTACACCAGTCCAAGAAGTGCTAGTTAAAGCAAAATAAAAACATAAGGGATGGGGGTTCTTGCCGTACTTAGAGTGTGCTCAGCTTTGTCACTTGCAGGGGATGGGGGGAGACCTTGCATCCAAAGAGGGCTTTTCTCACAGCCTGCCTTTCCTCCACAGAGCAGAATCCTCTGTTACAGGAACATTAATGCCATACATTTCCATGGTGCCTGGATCCTGAATCCCACTGGCTCTTGTTGCGCATTTTTTTTTTTTGTGAGTCTGGATTTCATGGATGTGCTCTTATTTGAGCCCCAGACAGGCTTTCTTAGTGTCTGAGCCTCAGAAAGATGTGGCAAAGCATCTTCATTCTCTCAGTGTGGGGGAATTCTTTAATAATGTATATAGTGGCCATGAGCGTGCCCTCTGGAAATAGGGATGGTAACTGGCCAGTGATTCCCAACTCCTGAATTCCAAGCTCTATCCTTACATTTGCACCAAAGCCGCGCTTCCCACAGGCTGCTTCTAGCCAGTGACCAAGCAGGGACACTGGGGTAGACCCATTTCTAAGAGATGCTGTGGCACTAAGCCCTGCTGAAATTTCCTTAGCACACGTTCCGGGATGCTTTTTTCTACCCTGCATCCCTCTGTTCTTCACTCGGGGTCAGACTGGCATTGTGGTCTAATGGCTCTCCCAGCCTTTCCCACCTCCTTCCCTATCCCACCTCCCCCGCCCCCCGCCCCGCATGAGTGTTTTCCGTAATAAAAGCCTGCATATTTAATCCCATTTTGCCATCTACTCCTCAGAGGACCTGGACTAACACAATATATACTTTAAAAAATGTATGTATATGAATCCCTAACAGTAGGGTAAGAAGTACCTCTCGGGCTTCCCTGGTGGCGCAGTGGTTGAGAATCTGCCTGCCAATGCCGGGGACACAGGTTCGAGCCCTGGTCCGGGAAGATCCCACATGCTGCAGAGGAGCAACTAATCCCGTGTGCCACAACTACTGAGCTTGCGCTCTAGAGCCGTGCTCCACAACAAGGAGAAGCCCGAGAAGCCCGCTGCGTGCCGCAACTAGAGAAAGCCCGCGCGCAGCAACGAAGACCCAGCATGGCCAAAAATAAATAAATTTGTATTAAAAAAAAGAAAAGAAGTACCTCTCTATGATGGCTGGACTGAATTTTGCTCCTGTCCCCAGTTTATATGTTGAAGCTGTAACCCTCAGTGTGATGGTATTTGGAGACACAGCCTTTGGGAGGTAACTAGGTTTAGAAAAGGACATGAGTGTGGGGTCCTCGTGATAGGATGAGTGCCCTTATAAGAAGACACAGGGCTTGCTTGCCCTCCCTCTGCACTTGCACAAAGAAGAGGTCACATAAGCACACAGAGAGATGACAGCCATCCACAAGATAGGAAGAGAGACCTCACCAGGAACCGAATCAGCCAGAACCTTGATCTTGGACTTTCTAGCTTCTAGAACTATGAGAAAATCATCTTTTGTTTAAGCGTCTCAACCTGTAGTATTTTGTTATGGCAGCCTGAGCAGATGAAGCCACAGGGAAAGTTGATTTCACTCTAACTGGAAAATAAGTCTGGGAGCAGGTGGCTGTGTGTCAGCATCCCCACCTCTACAACCAGAGCACAGCTCTGCCTGCTCAACACAGCCACGTGGCCATGGGTAGTGGCTACGGAGGGTTTGGAACCCAGAAATGTCTGCCATTGGTGTCTTAACAGAGTTGCTAAGGGTATTTGGGATGGGACAGTTCTCCGGGCGAGACTGTCACGTGTATTTCAGGGTGTTTAGTAACCCTGCTCCCTGCCCACTAAATGCCAGTGGGGCCTCCCAGTCCCTGGGGCAACCAGAACAACCTCCACAAATTTCCAAACATCCCCTGGGGCAAGACGGTACTGCTCCCAAGTGCAGCCAACCGGCACCCCTAGGGTCTAAGCTTTTAATCACCTTGCTTCACTACCAGTCTAATCGTTGGCCTGTGAAAGCAGCTGCCCAGCGGTCAGAGTTGCCCAGGGAGGTGGAGGGGAGAGCATTTCATTCCTTTGGTGTTTGGTGAGAAGGTTTCCTTGTGCTGTAGGGTTTCCAGGACTAATCGAAGGTCGGTAGTAAGTATCATCCCAGCTCCAGGGTCTGGAGAAGCAGGATAGCTTGTGTCCAGTGGGTGTGCAATCAGTACTGCATGTTGAGAAATTATTTAATTGACTTCTTGCCTCCAAACAGAATATGTTAAATTTATGGAGAGTGTCACCATTTTCCCTGGCTGACCTACTCCCATTTGTCTTAATCCTTACTCTCAAAAATGCCTTCCTTAACTAGTCTTGCTGCAATTTATACCAGCTTCTACTTGCCTAGGCATCTGCATCTTATTACTCTAAGAGACCATATAACACATGGTCGTTTGGGGATTGAGCTCTGTAGTTGGATAAGCGGTTCAAATCCCACCTCTGTCCTGATTAGTTGTGTAACTATTAGTTATGTAACTAAGAATGACATTCTTTTTTTTTCGGACTATAAAACAGGGGCAGCAGTAATAGTCCTTACTTCTTTGGGTTGCTGGGAGGATAAAGGGAGGATAAAGTGAAATTCATGGCATTCAGGGGACAAAAAAGCAACAATTGCCTGTGTAAAAGTTTCCTGATACACAACACACTGTGGCTTTACCAAGGAAATTCTCAAATTTCTCCGCCATCTTGGGATATTGAATTCTTCAAAGCTCCAGTTTAAAATGTAAATATTGAATTATTTAAAGCTCCAGTTTAAAATGTAAAGATTGAGGACCTCTTGGATTACAGAGCTTGTGGTTGTTTACCTTTGTATCCCTCTCATCTAACCCACAGAAGGTGTGCACTGAATGATGGGGTTTTGTTTGTTTTTACTGAAGTATAGTTGATTTACAATATATTAGCTTCAGGTGTACAGCACAGTGATTCAGGAATACATACATGTATATATATGTATATTCTTTTTCAGATTCTTTTCCCTTAGAGGTTATTACAAAATATTGAGTACAGTTAGTTCCCTGTGCTATATGGTAGGTCCTTGTTGATTATGTATTTTATATATAGTAGTGTGTATATGTTAATCCCAGCCTCCTAATTTATCCCTCACCCTGGATAATCGTAGAATGAACGTGTCCAAATGCTGTACAGGAGACCTCATTTTATTGCACTTTGCTTTATGGTGCTTCACAGATATTGCTTTTTCTTTTTCTTTTTTTTTTTTTTTACAGATTGTGGTTTGTGGCAACCTTGTGTCAAGCAAGTGTATGCCATTTTTTCCAGCTGCATTTTCTCACTTTGTGTCTCTGTGTCACGTATTGGTAATTCTTACAGTGTTTCAAACTTTGCATTATTATTATATCTGTTACCGTGATCTGTGGTCTTTGATGTTACTATTGTGAAAAGATTATGGCTCTATGAAGGCTCAGATTATGGTTCGTTTTTTGTTTTTGTTTTTTTTTGCGGTACGCGGGCCTCTCACCGCCGTGGCCTCTCCCGTTGCGGAGCACCGGCTCTGGACGCACAGGCTCAGCGGCCATGGCTTACAGGCCCAGCCGCTCCGCGGCATGTGGGATCTTCCCGGACCGGGGCACGAACTCGTGTCCCCTACATCGGCAGGCGGACTCTCAACCACTGCGCCACCAGGGAAGCCCCGTGCTTCATATTTTTTAGCAATAGAGTCTTTTACGATATGTACATTTTTTACACATAATGCTATTGCACACTGAGTGGACTACCATATAGTGTAAACATAACTTTTGTATGCACTGGGAAAGCAAAAAATTCGTGTGACTTGCTTTATTGCGACATTTGCTTTATTGTGGTGGTCTGGAACCGAACCTGCAGTGTCTCTGAGGTCTGCCTTTATTAGGTCACTGTGATAGTAATAATAATAGCAGCTAACTGTGAACAAGTGCTTCCTAAGTGTCAGGCTATATTCTAAGTGTTTTATATATATATTAGGCTATTTAATCCTTATAAGGTAGATAGTTCTATCATTTCCATTTTACAGTGAGGAAACGAAAGCTTCAGAGATTAATTTGCCCAAGTTCACACATTTTGTCAATGTGAACTTGGAAGAAGACAGAGTAACTTGAGAGTTTCGGAAACCAAGCTCTGCCTGCTCTCAGCTCCCCAGGGTCGAGCGGGCTGGATCTGGAGATGGAGAGCAAAGGTGATAGTGCTGGTGGTGGGTGGTGGCTTTTCTCCAACGAGCGATCATGCAGGATGTCATCTGTTCTCAATTTCCACTCTGGTTGTCCTCCGTGGCAGCCCTCCAGCCCAGCACATGTGCTCAGGCTGTTGGCCAGGAGCTAAATTTATTTGTAAGCTCAGGGTTCAAGGAGGTGCATAAATTACACGTATACAGCCTCATTCCTCAGTTTAGCTTGATGCAGCCAAGTACCCATCAGGGTTTTCCAGGCTACTCACTCCCAGTCCTAAGCCATCGGCCCTTGTCAGGGTGCCTTCAGCTGCCACCTCTACCCCACACAGCAGGCACCTTATGAAAGAGACACTGGCACGTCTCTGTCCTGTGCACAGTCTTCAGTCTGGTCCCTTTGCCCAACTTAGTCCTTGCATTCCACTCTGTCATGTTCTCACCTCTTCTGACCATGTGAATCACACACCTCACAGCCCTTAATGCTTTTCCATTCCACTGAGGATAAAGCCAAACCCCTTTCAGGTGATTTACAAATCCCTTTACACTCTGGTTCCCACCCACCTCTCCAGGCTAGCTCCCAGGCCACTCCCTCCCCACTAGGACATCCCTGTCCCCCTTTTAGTTTCTTACAAATGAGCGGGATGTTTTGTTGTTCTGTGGATGGGAGAGTCCTTTTTTCCTTAACTGTTAGGGAACCGTCTTCCAGTGATAGAAACAGTCGTGCCCACCAGTATGATTCTTATTTTGCGAGAACTAGATAGATGCCGGCAAACTGCTCACAATTTAAATCACTTTCTTCTAAGTCTCCTCAACCCCTGAATCTTCTCTGCTTGTATGTTTACTTTAGTCGCATCGTATGTATCCTTTCAGAGGATGTGTTAAGGAGGTCCACGTGATAGAAGTTTCATAGACTCAGGCAGATTTGAGAGAAGAACTCTCCTCCCCCAGTGAAGACGTTTTTGGGGACATAAAAAGTCCAGTAGATGGAAAATGCCTTGAGAATAAGGCTTTATTTCGGGGTCTTTTGCAGAATTTGCCATCTGTTGAACTGAATGCGGGAGGAGTGGAATCTGCTTAGGACATTTTCAGGGATGAGAAAAGAAGGAGAAAATGCTGTTATTTACCGCAGACCTACCCTGCGGCAAGTGCTTTACATTACATTATATCCTTCAATCCTCACAATAATTCTGTGAAGAAATATTACTATCCCCATTTTATGAGGGAGGAAACAGAGAGGTTAAGCAAGTTGCCTACGGTCACACAGCTGGTAGTGGACAGTGGCAATGTCATAGTTCAGGTCTCATTCTCCTTCTTCTACAAAACTGCACTCCTGATTAAAGCTGGTTAAACCATCTCTCGGCTTGAGCTCAAATAGATCTTTTTGCTTTTCCCTGTTGCCACAAGACCCTGTTTTTCAAATCTCCAGTGAGGGCCTCTTGATATCTCAAGAACCTATGACTCAATCGCATTTCAATTTCTGTCAGAATTCAGAAGTTTTGGAAAGCTGACGGTTATGCAGATTTTAAAAGTGGAATTACAGTGTTTGTCAGTGTCTGTAATCCACTGTCTGGACATTCAGGAAAGTGTCAGAAATCTAGTTGGGTAATATACCGAAGTTTCCTACAAACGTGCCTGCATTATGAAATTTTTCAATTACAGGAAATTATTTGAGTTGTTGAACTGTTTCTAACAGGGAACACTTCTTTATTTTTTTAAAGGAGCTTAAATTTTTATTAAATACTGCAGTCTATTTGGGGGATTGAATTGCTGTCGATATGGAAATAGGACCACTTGCGTGATGTGTTCCCCATTGCCAGTTTCTCATACACTTAAACAATCTGTCTCCTTTCAAAGTACGACAGTTGGCAGAAATTCTTGGGCATATGAAATTGGGATTGTTTTCAGACATTAAAAATCAGCCTTCAGATCATCCTTGCCGCATGGTCTAGCTTCAGCTTTTGCTTACCTTTTACACGCAGCTCTATCTCCCCGGCATCGTCTTGTGTGGAGTAGACCCACTTGGGTGTGCACGTCAGGGGAATTGGATTTGATACTCCCCACCTTCGCACTGGGGTGGCTAACGGCTGTGATCCCCTCACATAGAGAATCCGTCAGCTGCCAGGAGAAGTCAGTGAAGCGTGTGAGACCCAGGAACTAACTCTATTTCCTAGCAACTGAGGAAAACCATTTCTCCTCTGTCAGCAGGAATGCTCAGATTTATGTAAACTAGAATTGCCCGTTATCACCATAATAAACCATATATTTGCAGGCGGTATTTACAGCCAGCTCATCGTGGCATTCCATCCTGGCAGCCCCCAAGCTTGTGAGTTTCCCATTTGGAGCCCCCCAAAATACGATTAGGTGGATGCCGAGTACTAGTTTCATTAACAGCAGTGCCTGAGAAAGCTACTAACTCTCTAATTATGCAGGAAGATTACTGATACCATTAACTGAATGGTTGTAAAACTCCAGTGAAGTCAGATGGTAGTGAAGTCCATTTTCAATTCACTAGGCTATTAAAAGTATTTCCGGCTATAAAATAAACAGACACAAAGCATACTGAACAGGCTAATATGGAAACATAAAACAGCGAAGGGAGAAGCTTGTGATAGCAATTAGTGGTCGTGATTAGCCGCGCCACAGCCCCAGCGGTGGAAATTAAAGATTAATTTATGGCAGCGCTCTGGCGAGGGAGGTTTGCTGGTGACTGTTCTGCGTACAGGTGGGCTAGGCGCTTGTCATTTCAGTTACCACAAAATCATCCCCAGCTGAGGCTGTGCTGCAGCCTTCCTTGGGACAGTTCTGTCTGTTACCTGTAGCTGAAATATGCTTAATCAACACGTTTCTTCATTCGGAGCCTCAGTTTCCCTACAGGGGTAGGCTGGTTTAGGGGCCTTGTAGCTCTAAGAGAACCTGAGATGATCTGTTCCAACACCACTTCCCTACCAGCCTGCATCTTTGCTGACCCTTACATACAGTTTACCTGTCCATGGTGCTCATACCCTTCACCTGGACGCTCTCCTCTTCAGCCACTCCTGGGTAACCCTTCTCAGTTTCCATATCCTGGAGAGTTCTCTTAAGAACCTGGTCTCTGTACTGCCCACTCACCATTCATCCTCACTGCCTCTTTCCTGGCTGTATTTTCAGTCCCACAAGCTGATAAGTTCCTGGGGAGCTCAGTAAAGATGTGAGAATGGATTGAGAGGAAAGGCCTTCCAGGGCAGGAAGTATGCCACATCTTGGTCCGTTTCCCCGGGAAGATGTTGGAAAGTCGAGAAGATATTATCTAGGAACCTGTCACGTCACTGTACAGAAATAACAGGAACTGTAGTTGGTATGGAATTTTGCTATCAAAAGGCCTTTTCGTGTTTCTGATGTCCAGAAGCAGCCATGAAATAGATTAATGGGCATGTTGGCAACCTTGCCCCTGAGAGGATGGAGGCTTAGAGAGGAGAACTGGCCCAGGTTCTGATGGGTTGCACTGAAGAACTCCTCTGGGTGGTTCTTAAACCCTGACTCACGGTAGCCCTCATCTGTAGAAAGAGCAGAGCGTCCTGGGGTGGCTTTTTAGACCCCACTTTGAGAATGATCTCTCACATGTGGTTTATGAAGTAAAGACTTTCTGCACCAACTGAAGCTGGGATGCATCACCTTTTCCCCATCTTCTTCTTGTCCTGGACAATTGGAGGTTGCTTCACCAAATTTTAAGCCACCCCATTACCTTCCTGTTTCTTTAGCCTAGACCTGGGTTACCCCAAGTGTGGTCTCTGGACCAGCAGCAGTGGTATTCCCAGGGAGCAGGGGAGAAATAGAAATTCTTGGGCCCATCCCAGGTCGACTAAATCAGAATCTGCTGCGTAACAAGTTCCCAAGTGTTTCCTGTGCTCATTAAAGATTGAGAAATGCTGCTCTAAACAGGTTTGCCCACATTGTCCCAGGCTAAGAATCATCTCAAGTGCTTATTGAACATACAGCCTCCTTGACCCTTCTCTAGACATTGTGCACAGCACTGGGTTTAGGATGGGGCCTGGGTGTTCGTGTGGGTGACTCATGCCTACAGGGGTTTCTTCTCCTGAGGGAAGTTCGGGATTCTCTGCTCTAACCCAGTGGTCCTCACTCCTGGGTGTACATTAGAATTACCTGGTGAGCCTTTCAAAAATACTGAAGCTAGGAATGCACTCATAACAATTCCATTTAGTCAGGTGAAGGTGGAGCCCAGGTACTTTCCTGGCGATTCTAATATATAATCGGGGTTCATAGCCACTGTCTCAATCAGTAGTTCTCAAAACGTGGTCCAGAGACCAGTAGCACCAGCACGATCTGGGACCTTGTCAGAAATGCAGATTGGCGGGGCGTGGTGGACTACCTCCCAAATCTACTGAATCAGAAATCCTTGAGGTGGCCCCAGTTATCTGTGTTTTAATAAGTTTTCCAGACAAGGCTGGCCTGTGAAATTCATGGGGCCCAGTGCCAAATGAAAACACAGGGCCCTTCTTCAGAAATTATCTAGAATTTCGAGACGGTGACAGCGCAGCATTGAACCACACCTAGAGTCTTCTAAGCATGGGGTCCTGTGTGACTGCACAGGACGTGCACCCATGAACCTGGCTCTGCCTGCAAGTGACTCTTGTGCCCACTGATGTTTGAGAACCACTAGTCTGGCTTATAGCTGGTGTTTTTGCTTCTTGGCATGGTCCAAGAGTGACTCTCAGGACTTGTAAGCCACTGGCCCCGAGATGACAATAATAATAGTACCATTTGTTGATCATTTGTGACGTACGAGGCACTGGGCTCGGCACGTCGCAGGCGTTATTTTCATTCAAGGCTCACAACAGCCCTAGGAGAAGTATTCTGCTGCCTTCATTCCCATTGCGCAGAGGGGGAGACTGAGTACCAAGGCCACTGGCCACTGGTAGGTTGAATATGTTGAATATCAGCTGTTTGCCTCCTTCTTCACTGTGCCTCCTGTTCCAGTCATTATTTGCCCTGAGATCGTCCTTGCTCCTAACTCCATGGGTGAGGACTTATTGGAACAGAAGGACCTACAGGACCTCTAATAAAGGGCCAAGCGTTTTGCTCTGGCAAGATAGAAGGGTTTATAATCATGGGTTTTCTATTTATCATTTCACCAACGTGGAGCTAGAGGCTCCGACGGGGGACAGAGCTAGCAAGTGACAGAGTTAGGGTTTGAACTCAGGAACCTCCGATCTCGAATGCTTCCCATACTTCCAGGCTGCCGTGGTCCTAAGCATGCACTTACAGGATAGATAACTTCCCTCTTCTTGTAGTTTGAAAGGGAGAGGAGGAGTAAAAAACCAAGGAAAGAAACTAAAGTCTCCAAGGATCTGGGAAGAGACCAGGGGACTATAAATTACACCAAGGAAGAGAGGGAACGCTAAAGTGAAATTGAGCTGGTGTTCAGGCCAGACTCAGCCGCCCTTAAGCCAGATATCTGAGAAAATGACTTCACCTCTCTGAGTCTGATTCCTGTCCTATAAGGTAGGTATAATAATAATAATACCCACCTTTATTGGGTTGTTGTGAGACTTCAATGAGATAATGGCTTAAATGAGCCACAGTGCTTAATAGGACTCCTGCCACTTAGTGGGTGCTCAGTAAAAGTTGCCATTGTTATTAGTATTGAGGAGGCCTTTGGCCCAGGCCACTGGGATTTGGAGTGAAAGTCTCGGCTCTACCCCTCTCCCTTTTCTCCACTCTCCTCTGTCTGCCTCCCTCACAGTGGAATTGGGTAAATTAGAAATTCAGGATGGAGCTCGGAGATCTGGAGTTCTGTCCCAACTCCACCACCATTTAGACGTTGGACTTGCCTCCACCCCTTTCGAGGCCTTGGTTTCCTCATCTGACAGTCCCAGGCTGGAACCAGTGGTCTGCAAGGCTCTACAGTACCCTCCTTTCCTCCTAGCATCAAGAATCCATTGACAATTAAGTCCCATTCATTTGTTCCTGTGCACTAGTTTCTTGAGAGACATTTGAAAAGAAATCTGACAAGGGAGAGGCTCCGGGGGCAAGCTGGCTTGAGGTTTGAGTCTGCAGTCCCCCAGCTATTAACTGGAAGAAGCTTGGAAATGTGGAAAGCCCTCCATCTGTGCGCTGATCCTTGTGGGCCTGGCTTCAGGCTTTTCCTGGCATTGCCATGAAGACCGTCAGGATCCCTGACCCTCCATGGGCCCTAGATTGACTTCTGATCGGCATGAGTTGTGCCGCAGCTGGATGTTCCCCTGTTTTCCTTCTGCACGTTCGGTTCCCCAGGAAGCAGGCTTTGAGATGGATCTTGGTGAGAAGGAGGCAACATCTGTGGAAGGGAAGGGAGGGGAAGGAAGTGAATTGGGCAGAGGGAGAAGTGGGGCTGCAGTGCAGTCATAAGGGAGGCCTCAGCCAACTCGCCGTGGACTTCTCTGCTGGGAGCAGCCTTAGAGTCATCTGAGCTGGGGCGGGAGTGCAGGGTCAGGACTTTACACCCCCATGTCAGTCTGTCATTGGATGCAGCCCCCCGTGCAAGTGGGTGAGGCCTTGCTGAGGAGGCATCTCTCTTCTTCAGCCCGGACAATCCCTTTAGGACACTGACAGCTGAGGACTGTCTGCGGGCAGCTCTCCCGGCAGCCAGGGGGGCCTCAGTGCTGGGACGCTGGGAGCCGAGTACAGCACCCCCGAACCCCGCCCCGCCTCCTTATTCCTAACCAGGCTGCTTAGGAAATGCAAACCTCCTTGATCTTAGCCTTCGCAAGTGCCAGTTGGGTGGGTGATACAGCTTCTTAGTTTTTCACCAATTTGACCTTTTCCTTTTGAAACGAGGTCATGCTGGAGGGTCCGAGCTGACCAAAAGGTCAAGTAGAGGTAGAGATGTGCCCTGTCCCGGTACAAATACTAAAGGCTACCAGTTGCTATCAGTTACTGAGTGCTAACTATATTCCAGGTTTACGATGTCTCCAATTTTCTTTAAAATCCTTCAGCTTATCTAATGCAATATTATGAGTTTGCCGAATCTAGCCCAGTATTGCAGAGAGCAGCCCAGTCAAGGGTGCGTGGTCCAGGGGAGGCCAGAGAGGCCCATTCTAGGGGAGCTGCTACAAGTTCTTTGGTTTCCCACCTCTTGAGTAACAACCAGAGCTTTGCTAATTAGCTTCCATAATGTCAGAAATGTGTGTGTTGTGTGTGTGTAAATATTGACCTTTGACCAGCCACGTAAATATTAGAAATGTGCTCCGTCTGATGCAGTGAAAGGGAGTCACCATACATGGATCGTGTGTAGTGAATCTTAAATCTTTTAGAGATGGACCTCATGTTGCATGAATAAGGTATGCGGAGGTCTTTAGACTTTACCCTGAGAGAAATCACTAGGCAGAAATCACTACATGCTCCCATGAATGATACCTTTCATGCCAAGGAGTGGTGGCAGCAAAATTGGTCCCATGAATTGTTTTGCTGCTCACTTGTTTATAATTTAAAAGTTGATAAACCTTCTTAGGTGTGATCAAGAGCCCCTTTAGAACTTGTAAACAAACTTGTGCAGGGCAGGGCTGACCGTCAGCATCTCACACTTCTTCAGCGGCGGCTCCGTATGTATATCCTGTGCGAGAACCTGGGAGCGGTCCCTCAACCACATCGTCTCCCGTCCGTTTGCAGCTGGGCACCATGCCAGCTGCTGCACAAATGTACTTATTTAATGTCCACAGCACCCCTAAGGGGTACATACTATTGTTTATATCCTTTTTATTAGTGAAAAAACCCACCTCAGAGTGATTTAATAATTCCCTTTGAGGTCCTCACAGCCAGCCAAACCAGACCTGTATGTTTCCCAAACCTGCATTCTTCACTTCGGGCCCATGCGAACTGCCAGACGGCTTCCCGGAAAGGCAGGAGAAGACGTGAAATGAGCCCAATGCTTCTCTGTGCCCATGGTACCATGAGAGCCACCATACAAGTAGGAAAGTCTCTATACTTTTACATCTGTGTGGCGCATCTCTAAAAGATCTCAGCCAGTCCCTGAGTCTTGAATTTCACCAAAATTTCACTTAACTTCACCAATGAGAGCTCATTTCTACTATTCATCAGGCAGGTCAACAGGCCAACTGTTTTCACCCCAATAAACGTACAAATAAAAATAAAACTCATTTCTTATTCAGTGGGTGTGAAGGGCTAACATCTGGCCACTGCTCTGTCGTGAGCTATCCACGCGATGCTCACCTAGGTTCTCAAACCCCTTCAAGCTTTGCTTTCCTCTCCCAAAGTGGAAATCTTTCCTTCTACAGATTTATGTTTGTGATGTGTGTGTGTGTGTGTATGTTTCAAGAAGTCTGAAGTAGGACACCAAGATGGTAGAACTCATCACTCAAAATGGGTTGAAGTACCCCTCAAGGAGGGGTCTCCTGCCCCAGCAAGAGCATCAGGCAGTGTAGGCAGAGCTGACCTGAGCCTGGTGGGAAGAGGAACCACTCTGGAATCAGCCCATCCTGGTGTCAAGGGTGTCAGTTCCGTGACACTCACCACTGCTGGACGCGCACACCTCTCTGGGGCTTTCTCTGGCCACAAGAGTACGCTGAGCCCACGCACAGGCCAGGCTGGACGTGCAGGGGTTGGGGGGTGCCCAAGAGCAGCCTCCACCAAAGGCTCATTTACGCACACAGGTAACCTCCTTACTCTGCTGGTCTCCCTTTTTTCTGTTTCTCTTCCCCATTCCCTACCAGAGCTCTCTGGGACCACCTCCCAAATGGACTAGTTGCACGCAGATGTTTGGCTCAGGGTCTGCTTCCGTAGGAACGAAGCTTCCCGGTTCACATCCCTGCTCTGCTGTGGAGCAGCCGTAGGTGCCGGGGCACATCACTCCTGTCACTGGAACCTCAGCATCCTTCACCGGGAAGAATGAGATGATAAAAGTGGAACAAATCTCACAAGAGAGTTGGGAAGGTTCCAGAAATAGTCTGTGTAAATCGCTAAGAACAGCATCTGGTATACAGCAGGCATTCAGTAAATGCTACTTAAAAAAAGAAAACCAATTGATAGCTCCTAAAATTTCTTTGGCTGAGTCTTCATCTAATCTGAGATCTCTTTGCTCTCAAGCCTTAGACTTCCTCTGGCTGAATCTCCCAGGTTATTTCAGGGAATCTAACGCCTTTACTAAGTTAACATATCTTTAGCAAATATTGACTTAACACCTATTATATTGAAGACTCGGTGCTATGGTAGATATAAAGAAGATGAGGTCACTGTCTCCAGGGAGATAAGACGTAGTCACAGGCAGCTGTGGTCCAAGGAAACTGTGATAAGCACGTTTCTCTACAGGCAGACCTCGTTTTCTTGCACTTTGCTTTATTGTGCTTCGCAGATACTGCGGTTTTTGTTTTTGTTTTGTGTTTAACAAATTGAAGGTTTGTGTCAACCCTGGGTTGTCAGAGGATAGTGAGCTTTTTTTTTTTTTGCAATGAAGTATTTTGTAATTAAGGTATGTGCATTTTTTTAGATGTTAATTGTACACTTAATAGACTACAGGATAGTGTAAACATAGCTTTTATACGTACTGGGAAACCAAAAATTCGTGTGAGTTACTGCAATATTCGCTTAATCTCTGTGGTCTGGAACTAAACCTGCAGTATCTCTGAGGTCTGCCTGTATGTGCCAGTAAAGTAGGAAGTGAGCTGAGCGGAGGGGAAAGATTATCTCTGGTGTGGAGGAGGAAGGGGTATCAGGGGTGGGTTGTGAACGTTGGGTGGAATTTCAACAGAGGAGATGGAAAGGAGGGAGTGTTAGCAAAGGTGGAAGGTCTGGCATTCTGCAGCGAGTTTATCCCTATCTTATGGGAGACCCAATAGATTAATGACTCTCCATTTCTAGAGCAAAGGGGATAGCAGATTCTCCAAAAAATGTAATAACAATATATAATGTGTTATATAATAGATTATTATACCTTATACATAGTACTTATTATGTGCCAGGCGCTAGTAGAGATGCACTACGTAAGTTCATCGAATCCTCAACTTCAAGGTCAGTTCGACTGTTATCTCCATTTTACAGATAAGAAAACAGAGGTGCAGAGAGGTTAAGCATCCTGCCCAGGCTCACTCAGGTACTGCGCGGACGGCTGAAGTCGGAACGCAGGAAGTTTGCCTCCAGCGTTCCCATTCTGTAGTGCCTCTCGAGAATGGCACCTTTGCAGGACTTTAGGGGAATAGGTAGCCGTGATGTTGACAAGACTCTACAGGAGAAAGAACCTCTCCCCCACCCTGCCCACCGCCCAGCCCCATAGAAGTGGTCTCCAACTGGAGCAGTGGTTCTGGAAGTTGCAGGTCACCATGACAACGCACCCCTGAGCCCGGCCACGCCCCCAGGCTCAGTCTCACTGGTTTCCAACCCCTGTGCAGGGCCCCTTTCCCTGCAGGGCCTGCTGGGGAAGTATCCCTGGCTTGTGGCAGCTGTGGTTTGGCGCTCAGGACCCAGATGTAAAAGGAGCTCGGGCTGAGGCAGGGGCCGGCGCTGGTCTCCAGAAGGCAAGCCCCAGAGCGCCTCAAATAGGTGGTAACATCCCCAGTTTGATCCAAATCAAAACAAGCCTGGATTTTCCTGTTTGTTTTCTTTTCCTCCAGCAGGGAGAGGAAAGGAATGTGCAGCGGCTGCTAATTGGATAGTGGAGTGACCGATTTCTTATTTTCTTATCCATGCTGAGCAGAGCTGTAGGGAATCTCTGGGGCCAGGAAGGACACAGCGGGAGTCTCTGGGTCTCTCTGAGACGGAGTTCACAGTCGGGACCAAAGCTGCCAGCTGACATGTTTTATTTGGCCTGCCCGGTGTTTAAAAAATGTTTTAAAATAGATGCTGACATTTTTAAAAGGGGGAGATGATACATAAAATTCTGCATTCCTGGCTTGTGTTGAGACATGGAAAGATCTGGGCCCAAATCCCCGCAAGTAAACAATCGGGGGGAGCTGAGCTGAGGCTGCTCTTTTATACGGGTCACCAGGGTCCCCTCCCACCAGCTTCACCCACCTCCATTACCTTTCAGGTCCTCATCAGCATTTGAGTGTGTGACCCCACAAGACAGGAAAGCCTCCCTCCTAGGACCCTCACCAATCTCAGGATGGGCACTACACTGATGCCACGGGTCAGCGGGCAGACCAGTAGCCGAGGCGACTGGCGAGGGGTGCTTCCAGAGTCAGTTGGATGGCAGATTAAGGTGCCAGTTATAAAGCCATAGAACGCAGCGTGATGCATCACTGGGTAAAGAAAGGGGCTGAAGCTAGAGACAGGTTCCTGAAGTGCTCCATCCGGTTTAATTCTTCTATACGTCTTTGAAACCTTAGGCAGATGAGAGCAGAGGCTGTAAATCACCCTCTATTCAATGGCTCATCATAAAGGATACGGAGAGAAATTAGAGGAGGCAAGAGAAGGAAAAGCAGTGAGGAACAAGGCAAGGGTTGTTAACAGTGTGTTTGAAGATGGGCAGGTAGTACGTGAGAAGCTGCTGGAAGTCCGGCTTGATTTGGGCATCCCAGACGAACGGGAAAACCCACCCACCAGCCCAGACTACTGCTGTGCCCCAGGGCATGTGATGGGGGGAATGTGTGTACAGAGAACTCACTGGGACTGTGCCTTACAATGTCAAACACATGGAGTTTGCTTCAGTCAGTACGCCTCTTAATCTTGGCTCTGTCATTTTTTGGCTGTGTGACTTTGGGTAAGTTACTTAACCTCTCTGAGTCACATTTTCCTCATCTGTTAAATGAAGTAATCATCATAAATGCAAGGGGGTGGTGCCAGAAGTCATAGGAAGCTCTCACTAAACGATACTTTCTTTATGTAATATTGTAAAAGATTAAAATTGAACCATCCCCAAAGGAAAGTAGATTTCACTTACTCAGGTGGCAGTTAAAAGGTGATCTCTGAAGGTTCTGTTTTGTTCCTTTTGAGGAAGGGCAGGAAGACTGCCCCTCCCAGGGTCCTCTGAGTGTCCACACAGGTTTGTCTTGACACAGGACGGCAGTGTTTGAGTGGAAGAACTCAGTCCAAGAGGAGGGCAGCCGGAGGCTCACTGGGCCTGTCCACGGCTTCCCAGACTGGCTGTGAGCCACGCCTGTGGGTGGGACATGCTAGTCTCTGCCCTTCTCTCCTCTCCTCCCCGCCGCACCCCTGACTCAGTGCCCTGGGAACCTGACCCTGGCAGTGCCTCACGCGCTATCTTTGTTTGGGCTTCCCCAGAAGCAGAGCCTCAGGTCAGGACTGGAGCGCTGCTGGTTTCTCGAAGGTTGTGGTGGACATGGAGATGCCCATTCAGATCCCCCTTCAAGGAAGGACTGATTGCCCTGCTGTCAGCCCTTCAGGATCTGCCCCAGCTGCAGAGAGAGCCCCATCGTGTCATCTGAGGTCATGCCTGCCCTTCCCGGGGCTACTGGCATCCTCCTGTGTACCCACATCCGGAGCCTGAGCAAGGTGGACCATTCAGCTCCACAGGGGACACCCAGGACTTGTTCCAAGCTCCTCCTAGGCAGCGCAAGGCTTTGTCAGTCCTGTATCACATCTTAGCTTATCCTTCTGTCCAAGCCTGCTTCCACCCGCTTCCTTTCATAGGTGTTGGTTCCCTAATAAAGCCCAACACCCCACATTCCGTCTCAGGGTCCAACCAGTGGCAGAGCTCTGGAGTAAGGGGGCCAGGAAGGAGGGAAAGTCAATGTAAGAGTGTGTTGTCAAAGCCAGAGACCCTGCTGGGACCTCTGAGAAGGGTCAAAGTTGCCCCCTGGGAATGGTCCATTGGGTGGCCTCTGCCCATCAGCTCCCAGAACTGCCTGTGAGGGCTCGAACTGCCCCCATTCCTGGGCTTCACTTACACACTGGCTGAGAGGGTTCCCCACCTTCAGAGATGCCCTGAACAGAAAGCGGGTGCACCGAAGGAGGGATGCCATCAGCCAGACTCTGAGCTTATGAGGCGCTTCACCGTGGCTGCACTCAGCAGAGAGCCCGGGGACGTGGTGCAGGGCACCCCAAAGCACCTGTAGACAGTAGGTACTCGGGCCAAGCAGAGGTACCAGCAGGAGCCGGGAGGGTGGGAGGAGAGGAAGATGGGGTAGTTTCTGCCCTGCTCCTTCCTGCCTCCACAGCGGGGCTCAGGCAGTAGCTCTGGCTTCAGGCAGCTCTTCTTGGGTACCATCTCTCCCTGGAATCAGAAACACTGCCCCCTGCTCCTTCAGCCCGAGGATCCTGGTGTTGCTATTCTCTGGGTGTCTCTGCTTTCCTTACTGGCTCTTTTCTCCCCATTCACACCTCTGATAATTGTCTCCTGGCCAAAGGGCCTTTGATTGAGTGCTCTGAGGGGATCCTGGTAGACACAGTGGGCTGATGCCGAAAGCCTTACCTTCCCCATTGACCCCACCTTCTCCAGCCCTTCCATCCGTCCTCCCTCCCAGCCACTCTCGGTCCCCCTACAGCTTGCTTTTGAATCTATTTCTCGTAGATAAATTTATGTCCTCCTCCTTCACAGCTTTGCCTTTTGATTTGGAGGAAGGAAAAAAAAAACACCTTTCTATAAAGCTATTAAATGTTTTCTTTTCGCAAACACCAGTTTTGTACGTCAGAAGCATTGCCTTTCATGACTATTGAATTCTTGGAAATGGGCTTCAAGTGCCTATTTTGGGAATTAAAATCATAACATCAGCTCTTTTTCGCTCTCTGCGTTCCTGCCTCTAGTCCTCTCCAGGGTGATGGATCCCTCTGGCTGGGCAGAAGCAAGATCATTTATAGGAAATGTGAGAAAGGAAGGAATAATGCTCCATTTCAAGAGCTTTTTCTCCCGACAGTTATTTTCAACAGGTGAGAGGTAGTGAGGCTGGCAGCAGATTTTTCAGGGAACACACAGCTACTTTTCCACCCCCAGCCCTCAATGTACACATTCTCCAGAACCTCTGGAAAACCCCTCGAGTGCATTCAGTCAACACATATTAAGTGAGCGCCCACTGCATGTCAAGGAGCTGGGTGCTGAGAACAAAAACGTGTGATTCCCACCCCACGCCATGGGGTTTATAATCTGTGTTGAGCGTTAGAGATTAATTGGTGATTCACAGAAATGTGACATTGCAATTTTTCCTTGGCATTTGCTGTTCCCTCTGCCCGGAATGCTTTTCCCTTAGCTACTTACATGGCTTGCTCCATACTTTCTCCATTTTTTTTTTTTTTTTTGCAATCATCACTCTTCATGGAGGACGTCTATGGCCACCCATATCCCTTCTCTCTCTTTTGTTGCCTTTTTTTGGGGCCCATCTATCCCAGAATGTAAGCTTTATGAGAATGAGGATTTTCTTCTTTTTTTTTAAAAGTCTTTTTTGTTCTCTGCAGTATTTTCAGAGCTGAGAACAGTACATGGTACATAGTAGGTGCTCAAACAATGTTTATTAAATGAATGAAGCAAACCAAGTACTAATAAGCATGGAACTGAGAAAGACTAGACACAAGGCTTCTCAGGGGAAGTGAGAGTGAGGCTGATCTCAGAAAGATCAGAAGGCATTACCTAGGCCTAAAGAAGAAGCAAATAATTCCATGCAGGAAACACTGGCATGTGCAAAAGCCCTGTGGTGAATGAGAGCATGATGGGCTTTAAGAGCTAGAAGGTGTTCAGTGAAATTCAAGCACAGGACAGGGGATGGGAGAGAGATGTTATGAAGTAATAATAACAACCAAAACTTAGAGCAGCTCAGAAATGCTGGGAACCATAGCAAGCTTTGTACAACTCTGGGAGGAAGATACTATACTTATTCCCATTTTATAGATGAGGAAATCGAGGCCCAGGTAGTTGAGGGAACTTGTTCAAATCACAGACTTAATGAACGTCGGAATTAGAATTAAACTGCAGAACTCTGACTGCAGAGCCTGTGGCCTTAACCCCTGTGTCCTTCAGTCTTTAGTAGGAAGGGTAGGATAGGCCAGCACCTGTGGGGACTTGGAGTGGCATAGAATCCCCACTGGGGGCCAGGCAGGAGCAGGCAGATACAGGCTGGTTATCTCCTGGGGGGATTCTCACAGATCTCCCAGCTCTGCGCTCCCCACCCCACTTGGCTCTCTGCAGCCACACCTACCCTGGTTGGATTGACTGTCAAAAACGTTTCTAGTCTGGATGGGCAGAATCAGTCCAAAGTCCCTAAAGGTTTGGCCCTGTACCAAGAAGATACCTTCAGAGGT